TTAGTATAATAAATATTTATTTTGCTATAGTAATTATAAACTATAATTATAAGTAAAGTTGTAGTCAGAAATAAGAGTTATAAATTGATATAAGTTAATTATTATTAATAATAATTGTTTGAAGAGTTATATAATATTTATGATCAAATTTAATAAATGTAAAAATAAAAATACTTTAGTCATCATTATGCAAACTTCTAATTCTTATTAAACATCATAAATTATAAATTGTACTTATATGTAAAGTTGTAGCTTATATTTAGAGCTACAAATTAGTATATGATACTATATATCAATCTTTAATCAAACTCAAACTCATATAATAGTTCAATTTGAGTTTAGTTCAAACTTCAAATCTTTCTTGAACTCAAGCCAAAATTCAGTTCAAGTTTGGTTTGAATTTCAAACTGAACTTGAACCTGAGCAAAAGTCCAGTTCAGTTCAGTTCATAAGAATACTAATCAAGAGTTTCTCTCAATTTACAGCTTTTTTGTTCAGTTTATTAAAAAGTAATATTAAATTTTATTGAGTTATAAAACAAAAACGCATTTTTAACAAACTAAAAATACTACTTATCTCTATATCAATTTTAATCTATTTTAACTTTATGTGAAAGTTCTATTTTTATATTAATATTTTTAATATTGATTTAGAAACTATACTTACACAAAAGAATAAATAAAACTGGAAGTACATAATTACTTATACCAACATATTAAAAATGTTATAATATAATGGAGAAGAAAGTATTAATTATAATTAGAAAATATGATAATTTTAATACTATCTGCTCAGTATACTTTTTAAAATTGTTACTGATTATAGTGTTTTTTGTTGGCTATTTATAAAACAGATTAATTTTAGCTCTGGAGTTACTTACTGAATAATAATAATATCAGAATATACTTTTATTATCTTATAATATTGAACTGAAATATTAATGCTCTCTTTTACTTAAATTAATATTAAAAAAAAGATTTTTAAAACAAAAAAACTATTAACTATTAAATAATAATAATAATAACAATTAGTAATTTAGACTAAAGTATTTAGCATCAAATAATTTGTAAAACAATTTCTAAATTAAAATTTAGAATATTTAGAACACTTTAGAACTTATATAATAATTCAAAATCTGAAATATTTAGAACTTTGAAAAGTACTTTAGTTCAAATTATTAATAATAATACTTAAAGATAAAATAAAAATAATCAAAATAGAATTATATCAACTTGATATAATATCTAAAAAAATAAAAGTTATCCTATAAGTAGTACCAAAAAACAACAAAAATAAATAAAAACTCAAGTAAAATATTATATAATAAAAAAAGATTACTATACAAGATTAACTAAAAGAAAAAATTCAATAATTCTTTACGAATTCTTAAAGAAACTGAAATTAAAGTCAATTTAACTTATATATACAGTAACATATTTTTTAAACACTTTGTATATGAAGAAACTTATTAATAAATTACTAATAAAATAAAATAAAAAGTAATATTAAGATATTTATTAAGATATATTCTATTTGTTAAGATATATTCTATTTATTAGTATATTAATAAATAAAAAATTAAATAATCACTATATTCAATTAAATCAGATAATTATTTGAAAGAGTTATTATTGATTAATTAGATCTTGTCAGTCAATAACAAAAGAAAACTAATATATAGCTATTACTATTAACTATTTTATCAAATAATTTGAAATTAAGATAATTTTTAACAAAGTAATATTTATAATTGTTACTTTTATCTTTAAGGATATTATTTATAAATTAAGTATTCAAAGAAAATTTAATTAAATAATAGAACTAAATTTACTATTACAATTATTAAAGAATTAACAGACTGATATAATATTCATTATAATTTATCATCCTCAAACAAATTAAATTGTTAAGTGTTATAATTGAACTTTCTATATATTACTACAAAAATATTGCATTAAGTTAAAAAAAGAATGGAATATATATATTTTCATTACTCTTTTTGTATATCAAATATTAAGAAACTTCGGTATGAGATATGAACTATTCTTCTTGACTTATAGATGAGAAACAAAATTGCTAATAAAATTTTGGTATAAAATTTATTTCAAAATCAAGACCAACTTAAAGAAAGAATAAAAAGTCGGATTTTTATATTACTAAATAAACTATCAATAAAAATCTGTAATATGCAAAATAATATATAAGAAATCCTGCAAAAATTCAAAAAACTTTATAATCAAAAAATTTTACAAAATGAAATTTTCAAGATTGTAAAAAAGTATTAATCTATAATGATTTACTACATCTGATACAAAGACAAATTTGAATGATAATGGAGCAATAAATAATTTTATATTTATAAGTTAACTGAAAGTAATATCTATCAATTATAAAATTAGTATAACTAGTTACTAAAAAAGACATTTAATAGTAATTAACTTAAATACTATTATAAAAGAGAAATAAATTTCCTGATCACTATATCTAAAAATTGAAAAATTAAATATATTAATAGAATTCAAACAAAAAGAAAACAAATAATAATAGAATTATAAGAAAAAGAAAAATGAGAAAAATGATATATATATAAAAAAAAGTATAATAATTATATGTAAAAAAATAATATAATAATAACATAAAAAAATAACTAATACAATAATAATAACAATTAATACATAAAAATGTGGAGCAATATCTAAAAATTTGTTATTAATCAATAAAACTATAAAACTATAAAAACTATAAAATTTTAGTTTATAAAATAACAAAAAAATGAGCAATACTGATAGTATTTAATAAAATAAAAAAATTATAATTATTATTTTATAGCTTATCCAAATACTGTAAAAATATTAGTTTAATAGTATATTTAATCTTACTATTAATTAACTAATTCTAGTTAAGAATAATTAATTGCAATATATTGATCTTAATATAATAATCATTCTAAATAAAATCACAATTATTAATAAAATTGCTAATACTTATACTGACTTTTAATTATCACAGATCAAATATTATTTTTTATATTACTTGTTCATGAAAGAAAAAAGTTAAGCATATTACTTATAATATTCATCAAGTTTCAGATAATAATTGAATCTAATTATAAAAATATTATTATTTTGGTAGTCTCTTATCTGATATATCTCAGCATTGCAATCAAAGTCTACAAGTCTTCAAAGAACAAATTGTATTTCAGAAATGGATCAATCTGTTTTTATTAATCAGATATTGGCAAATTAGAAAGTGTACTTTCTGATTATTTCAAAATTATGAGCCATATAAAATTGGTAATTATATCATTTTAATATCTGACTGCATCTCATGTCTCAAAGTCCAAGAAATAAAAAAACTTGCTCAATGAATCTAACAATTTTGACAGTGCTCAATTTCAAAAAAGAAACAGATAGTATTGCTGGCAAACAAACTTTCTTGATTATGATTTTTTGAGGATAAATAAGTCATGGATATTAATAGTATCAGATCAGTGTATATATAGCATTATTGATCTCCAAAATTAGTAGAATTTATAGCAACAATTGTAACGAGTTTCCATTATAATTATTTACAATACCACAAGTTTTCCAATCTGGTAAGCTATTCAACAAATACTGCTATAGATTATTCAGCAAAAATAACAGCATATTTCATTATGAATATCAATAAATGCAGTCTGTGGATTTTTTGCATGATAACATGCTAATAAAAAAACAACAAACTCCCTTTTTATTATACAACACAAAATCACACTATTCTCCACATTCTCTTTTTTTTAGCATCTTTTATTACTTTTCAGCATCTCATCATTATTTTTCAGCATCTCCTCATCATTTTCAACATCTTCTCATCAATCTTCAACATGGTTCCATCAGTTTTTGAGCTTGTAACAATTTCTTCTGTAGATAATAGAGTGTCCATCATTTTAGTAAAATGTTATGCTTTTTTTGATAGTACAAAAATAATAATACACAAAAAATGTATAAAAGAATGGTCCACGGGGTTATTAATAAAGGAGAGAAATAAAATTATGTACAATTCTTCTCCAAGCAAAAATCTTTGTGTACAACTATTCTTAAAAGCGAAATATTGCTTGTAAAACTCTTCCCCTTTCAACCACATTAATCTTGATATCGTATTACTTGTTGGTTAGGTCCTTTGCACCAGAAAAGGCATTGTTTTGTGTAGAATCGCATTGTTAATGAAAAACCGTTTTCGTGTAATCATTATTATCGTTATTATTTTTAAGAGTTTAAGGCTTTTGTCTAGAAAAAGCAACGATTGTTAGTAATATTTTTAAGAGTTTAAGGCTTTTATCTATAAAAAGCAATAATTAAGAAAACCCCCGAACACTCACCTGAAACCCATAGTCTCTCCCTTTCCCCCAAAAATCAACTTAAGTCAACGATATCCGTAGATATCGGCACAGACTTTATACCGAATAAACGTCAATCAATCTAATAATCTCTCCCGAAGTCTTGTTGCGTTAGAAATCCCTCAAATCACCCCCAATTTAAAAATAGTGCAACAATGTATTTCCAGGGATCAAAGTTACGTAATTAGATTTTTGTTGCCAAGTCAATGTTAGATCGTCATAATCCATTACATGTACTATCGCTATCGAATATTCATTTTTAGTTATTCCATAAAAATTTTGAAAGTTAATTATATTGAAAACAAAAAAGCAATATCTTACATTTTAAAAGGTGTTCATTTTACCTCGTTTATAAACTCGGATGTAATTTGCTTTGAATGGTGTAATGTAACTATTAGTCAATATCTTTATTAATTCAGTACATTTATATTTTTTACAATATGTACATATTTGGCAAATTTGAATGACAATAATGTTTACATGATTTTACGTATACCGATACTACTGTATTTTGCTAAAGATCCGAATGATTCTGCTTCAAGTGTTCACGAAGTTCAGGTAAAGCAAATCCAGAAAATTTACATAAGTGACAATAGTGTTTTCCACTTATGGGATGCTTGTGTAAGATATTGTGCTTATTAAGAGCCGTTTTCCCACCTTTGATTTGTTTCTGACAAATATTACAAGATATTTCAGCTTGATTTTTAGCAGTGGCGAGCATCGCAGCAGTTGTACTTGTGGATGCTTGTGGCAGTAATGGTGGAAATGGTCGTTGGGAATTACCATCACTGTTATTTGATTGGCGGCTGTCAGCACGCTTTGGTGAAATATTTTTGATTTTGCGATCATTCTTTTTATCCGTATCCTTTTTTGGGAGAATACGTAGTACTTTTACTTTTTTTTGTGAAGGAAGAAACCCATGAGTGGGTGGTCTGTTTCTAGTCCAGTCTTCAATTTCTCCATCTGATTCATTTGCCTTTTGGTCGTTATCCGTAACAGCTTTATTCTCTCTTGATCGACGTTGTTCTCGAAGACGAATTGTGAAAAGTGAGGACAATAAATTGTCATCTTCTTTTTCGACATCGTCTTCCATTTCAAAAGGATCTTGATTGTTTGTCGCACTTTCTGTAACTTGGGGATCAATAGCAATATCATTATTTGACACAATAGGAGGTTTTTTCGAATCATTGTCGATTTTCTTGTCAACGTTACCAGATAACTTACGAAGCGGAGGTAATTTTCTTGTGTTTGGAGCCGCTTTGATAGGTTCAGAAGATGAAGTCGCCGATGAAGATGTCGATGATATCACAGACACATTATCCTCTGGTGATTTTTCTGGATTTGTATTCGGTGATTCAGAAACATTTTTTTCGCGAGGCAATTTCATCGTTGATTTTATGCCCTCCAAGCGAGCTTCTTCAAGTTCCTGTAAAGAAATATCAAAACTAATAATTTGTAGTTGTTTTTCCTCTGGTAATTTATTCATCTTCATTTCCGACTTTTTGGTTTTTGCATTCAAGGTTCCTGTTTCCTCCCCCGGTGATGTCTTTTTTATATTAGTTTGAGAAGTTTGGGTTTCTGCACTAGCAAATTTCTGTTTTTTAATTTCGTCCAGTTTAAATTTAACACGTTTCTGGTGAGATGGATCATTGGATGTAATAGTTTCTTGTTTCTCAAGAGAAAGGTTGTTTATCTTCTCCAATTTATTTGTTTCTTTGAGAACAGTTTCTTGCTCCTCAATTAAAATATTGATAGGTGATGTCACCTCGGACTTTTTGAATTTTATTAGAGAAGTTTCGATGTCTTTAAGAGTAATAAATTGCTTCTGTTTCTCAGGAGAAATGTCAATTTCATCAAGCATAATTTTTTCTCGAGAACTTGCATAAGATAAAGATTTTTGGTCCCCTGGCAACGTTGAGTCAAATGAAATTGACTGTGTTTGAGAAGTTCCAATGTGTTCAACGGCTTCTTCATGTTTCTCCAACAATTTATTTGCTCTGTCAAGTTTAACTTTATTGAAAGAAGCATCACTAGATGATGATTTTTCGTTCTCTAGAGCAACCGTTTTCCACGTTTCAGATATATTAGTATTAGCTTGGGAGATTGGTGAGGTCGTACTCGACGATGATAATGCGGAGGAAGTATCAATTTGTTTCAACAACTTTTCTAAATTCTCTTGTGTTTGTATTAAAGAAGATGCAACTTGTTCATACGAAATCGAAGTCTCCCGTGATTTTTCAAATTTTTTTAGTTGCGATTTTAGGTTCGTTTGTACTTTCCTTAGAGAATTTGCTAATTCCTCTTGAGAGATTTGGATTTGAGGAACAGATGATGGGAGTGAATGTGTCTTTTCTTGCAATATCATGTTATTATTATTGATGTTGGCATTTGAATTAACCGCTTCTGTCTTCAATTCATTAATATTTTTGATCTTTGGTTCTGATAGTTCCAATTCTCTAAAATTATTGTTGTAATTCTTTGTCGGATAAATCGGCGGCTTACTATCAATCGTATATAGTGAACCTGTCTCTTTATCATATTGAAGTCTTAACCGCTTTTGAACATTCAAATTCTGCTGGTTATTATTGCCTGCAAAGCCGAAGACGAAATCGGAACTTTTGATTGTTGTGATATTTCTTTGAGAGGCAGATAGCGGAATTTGTGGACGGAAAAAAGGAGCATTCAATTCGTGATCGAGATTATTTTTGAATGTATTAGTGATATTTGCGGCTCTTCGTTTAAATCCATAGTTAGTTTCAATTAGAGGAACTTCGCAACAATCCGATCCCCAGTTTCCTGCATTATTGTCAAAGTTGTCATTATTTATTGTTTGATCTACTACTATAGTATTTGGTGAGTTCTCGATGTCGTCATCACTGAACTCTAATTCTATATTGATGTCGTGAATATTTTGTCGTCGCAATTCTTGATGAAAAATTTCATAATTGTGAAATACTTGTGCGAGTTCCAGTAGGGTATCTGTATCTTTGGTTAAAAATTTGATGAGCAATGAATGATTTAAAGATGAGCTATAAAAATTTAAGAACTTACTTTTCAAATTTTGACTTGACGCGAAAGTGAATATATTCTTGAATAGATTACTAGCATCATCATTTCCGCCACGATCTTTTACCACTTGTTCTTCTGTTGTGAAAAATATTTTATTTTTTTAGTTTCTATGTTTGCCAAATTGGTGCAATACTACAAAATTACCTAAATAATTTGACCTTTTGTGGTCGTTGTCGTCGGGTTTCGCTTCTGATAATGAAAATGGTGTTGACAATGCATACTGCGAAGATTTCCGCAATTGATTTTGTTCCATCTTCCTGTATTCTGAAGTCGACTCAAATAAAGCAATTTAAAACTCTAAAAATACAAACTCGGGAAACCGCTCAAGACACTTATTTAGCCGAACTCCAAAAAAACGCGCGTATTTAAATACCGTGTGTTTTTTACCAGAGATAATACCGATATTTGTGTGTGTGTGTGCCCTAGAAGATAAGAAATGTTTGTTTCGTTTTTGTTGAGGATTACATGTACACGTTCATAATTAGTACATGCACTTAATTTATCAAGCATGCGTGATCATCATTCGTCATCACATGTTCTATACTGATACGACCTGATCGGTACTTTGTTATCGTTATCATTATTGAAAAGCAAAGCATATTGTGGAAAAATTGCATTTAATAGTTTCTTAATTAATTAAGCAAAATTATGAATTGCATTGTTTATTCGATGTCTTCACGAAGAAAGACAATTATCTAAATCTATTAACGTTAGGACAAATAGATACAAGCGAATTTTAAATTTACTAGTAACCTATGAAATGACTAAAGAATACAAAAAGAAACTAACATGGATGGACAAATCAGTGATATACCTTTGAAAAGGTATAAATATGGGGATCGGTTAAAGCGTAGTACATCCGATAATCTGTCCGAAAAACAAACCAATTAGGATGCGTAAATTTTTAATCAACCCGGCAAAACAAATTTGAAGCAAAGACAAGAAATGATAAAATACTGAAAACAGGTGCTTAAATCTTTCTTGGAGCACTAATTAAAAATGTCGGGAAGGCAATTTTTATAACGTTGAAATTACCTTTTTATATTTTTAAGATATATCACGTGATGGACTACGTTTTAACCGTTCTCTAAATATGGTTTTTTTATGAGTTTCGATATTATGACCTAAAGAGGAATCGAACCTTCTTCCTACCAGCACATGTATGGGTCCATCGTAGGTAAAGCTCTGTTCGGGTCGGGTCGGATCGGATTTGAGGTCAACCCGAACCGATAATTTCGGGTCGGATCGGGTTTGATCCGAAAATCGTTAAATAGTTTTAGTCAATACTTTTTATTTTTACTAAGACACTTGTATTTGGTGTCTAAGTAGAGTTGTTCGGAATGTAATTGTGTATATACCCACAAATTTTCGTTTAATTCCAATCAATATTGAACGAGAAATAACGTTTTTTAGGCTGACCCGAATTATTTCGGGTCGGATTTGACCCCAATCCGACCCGACCCGAAATATGCGTTCCGGGTCGGATCACGGATTGGACCCGACCCGGTTGGAGCACTAATCGTAGGGCTAACAGAGGTCAGGAAGTATACCACGAAGGACAACATCGTTACTCAAGAGAAGCACTAGAAAAGGATGCTCTGAGCATAATTTAGATTTCTTAATGGAACCCACAAATAAAGTAACGAAACATCGACATGGAACTTTAGAAGATCCCATTAACCCGTGTACTGAAAACTATCCCATTAAGAGATGTACCGGTAGCGGACATTCGTGTTTGCTTTAATAAGTCTGCCCCTAGGTCTCATCATTTGAAGCAAGCCCCATAGGAATGAACCATCACTGGCCGCCTCATGATAGAACACCGAAGCAACGGACAACAGCTTGAACTTCCTAAAACCATAAAGAACGATATTTTAGGAAAAATTTAGAAATATAAACTCCAAAAAATGTAACATAAAAGGAGAAAAGAGTAAGGGAAAGAGGATTACAACGAAAAGAATATAGATATCGATAATATTCCTGAAAGGTCCTTTAATCAAAAATCACACACATAACGATAATGTGAAAGGTTACGATGATTTGTATAATGCAACAGATTGCCAAAATGAATTTATCGTTATGTAACGGTAAGGGAAGTGCCAGAAAATACGTGATTTTTTGGGTGGGTAGAGTGGTAGATGAAATGTCACGTCCTTTTGCACAGTTATCGTCATATATAATGAGAATCAAATGTGACACAAACTGTACATAGAAAACACATGGCCTACACTCAGCTAGTGAACCAAAATTTAACAATAGTTTGTTCTTTAGAATGTTAGAAACAAAATTTATTAATATCACAAAGCACATTAGCATAATAATATTTTGCAGAATTTCATGTCAAATAAAATGAATTGACATTTTTAACATTTATATAGGAATAAAAAATTATTAATAAGAAACTTTGAAAAGAATTTATAAATATATTCTTTATCTCATAAAATATATTTTAATAAAGTTCTTTTCAAATTTATTATTAAATATTTTTTTATTCCTATATAAATGTTAAAAATGTCAATTCATTATATTTGACATGAAATTCTGCAAAATATTATTATGTTAATGTGCTTTGTAATTTTAAAAACTTTTGTTTCTAACATCCTAAAAAATATATTTTCAAATTTTTTTCTTTGTAATATATACTTGTCAATTTTATTGGTAAATCATCCAAATTCAGAGCATGTGAAATCTAAAAATATTATATTTAGTTTTTAATTTAGATTCAAATATATCAGATATTACAAAAAAATTTGTATAAAATAAGAAAAATAAATAAATAATATAAGAAAAAATATTCACAACAAAAGTAAAAATAAAGTAAATGAGAAATAAAATTAGATAATTATTGATATCTTTATTATATTTATATATTTATTATTACTAATATATTTATTAAAATATACTTATATTATATATTTATAATTAATTAATTATTATAAAATCAATAATTAATCAATTATTATAAAATATTTAATCATATAATATTAAAAATTTAATAGTTACTTGATATCTCACTCTTACTCTCTAAAAATTAGCTAATTTCTGGTGCTCTCTTATTTAATTTTCTTTTTTAATTAAAAATAGAAAAAATTTTACTTGATAATTAATAAATAACTATAAAATAACTTTGAACTGCAATATTCAAGATATTTAAATTATAATAAAAGTACAGAATATTTCTCTTTTTACTATATATAAGTATATTATATAATTAAAATAATAATAAATTTGGATCTATTTCTTGTTCTAAATATCCAAAAATCACATGTATTAAATATTAATTTATGAATACTAAAATTTAAAGAATAAATCTATTAATAAAATTTATCTGATTTTAATAAAAATTTGAAATTATTATAATAAACAAGTTTATAAAAATTAATTTACTTAGTAAATAATTGCATTTTATTATATTTTTATATAGTAAAATTCAGTATTTAGAAATTTTAATAGCTCTACAAATTGAGTTTTTATTAAGTAAATTAATTAAAAAAAACTAGTGCTTCAACCAAATTAGATCTAATTTATAATCTAATTCAGAATATACATTTCAGATCAGATCAAATTGGAGTTAAATTTGACCTAAAATAATTTGGATCAGTTTGAAAATTATTATTTTTTATTTAATATTAATTGAAATTAAATAAAAATTAGTAAACATATATATAATTATATTCTGAATAATTTTACAAGTATCTTAATAAAAATAAAAGTTATTAACAAAAAATCATTTTATAATTTTTAAACAAATCTGATCTAATCTGAAATTATTAGTTCAAATTGATTTCAAATTTGATTTAATTTGACTTAAATAAAATTTTAAAATAAACTTATTTATAATCTTAATTTATATGTATTGTGAAATTATAACTAAGAGCAGATAAAAATTTATTTTTTAAATATTAGTATCTAATATATTTTATAAAAAATTTTTTCTAGTTTTTTGTTCATATTTAAATGAAAATCTCTTAATGAAAGTTTATTCAATTTTAATAAAAATTTCATAGTATTATGAACATATTTATTTAATATATATATATAAGTTAATTTGCCTAGTAAAAAAAGTTATATTTTATTATATACATTAAAAATTAATATTATCAATTTTAATTAAAATTTAAAGTATAAATTAATACTGTGAACAAGTTTATTTAATATATAAAGATCAATTTACTTATTTAAAAATTATGTTTTATATAAAGTGAATTTAGTGTTTAGAAATCATCTATGTATCTAATTTGGAAAATTTGAAATTTATAGTATTTAAATTAAGTTATTGAAATCACGAAAAAAATAAATCATTAGTATATATATAATTTGTATATATATCTATGTACCTATAAAATTACAAGCCAAATAAATAATGTTCTCGTGACTTATCACTGAATAATGATTCTCATTATATATATCAAGAGCTATATTAATATAGGTTAAAGAATATCATAAGATAGCAAAAAATTAATACTCCTCTAATTATGAATGATAATAAAAAACTAAAGTAAAAAAATACAGAGTGGAGATTATAAACAGAATAAGAAAATGTCAATAAATAATAATAATAATAATAATAATAATAATAATAATAATAATAATAATAATAATAACAACAATAATATGAATAATAAAATGCCAATTTATTATATTTATACAAGAGAATAGTGTTGTTATGAGTGAGTTTTTACATGGTGAAATTATAAAAATATTATATCAAAATAGCTTAGAGATAGGAATTGATTCTCTAGAATCGATTAATTTTGAATTAATTCTAAGAATCGATTAATTTTGTAAAATCGAGGAAATCAATTCTTAGAATCGATCAAAATTTGAGAATCGATTAAAATTAAAGAATTGATTAAAATTAATAATTGATTAAAATTTGAGAATTGATTTTAAAGCCAAAATCAATAATGATAATAATATACGTACATAATTATGTATGTAAATACATGTACATGTAATTGGAAATTGTAATTTTCACGTGAAAAATATATAAATAATATAGTACTATATACTCTGTCATTCAACAAAAAAGTTAATATTGATCATAATCAAGAAACTATTGCCAATTTCTCATCAGTTTTCGACACATTTTTCATTAAAGAAACCCCCTTTTGTTAATTGTTATAGCAAAACAATATGATATTTCTTTATTAGAGAAAAATGGTGCTCCTTAGATAGTATAGTGTTCTTTTTAGCGAACTCTATGATTGCTATAGTTCTTATTGTAACAATTGGTAAAAGCTTGTAATAATA